GCCTATTTGGGATTTGTCTGTTGATTGTGCTTATATCACAGAGTTGATTTTTACTCTGGGACTACTCACTGCCTTCTCGTGATGGGGGTGTCGTTTACGAAATTGAGAGGACGAAAAGCGAATGCCTAGAGCTTTAACCGGGTTGGTGGACATGGAAAGTTTACCTAGGGGAGTTGGGAAAACCCTGATTCCAGACCAATGGTGCACATGGGCTGGTTTCAGTATCCTAAGGGAACAAATGGCGTATGAATCAATCGTTGGTCATCGGCTACCATGAGACTGAATCTCCTCACGATGCTCCACTGCCTTGTAGATCAGAAATTTAGGTCAAAGGCTTCGACTAAGGCCTCCTAAGAAAAATGCGTGCTACAGTTTCAGCACCAGAGAAGTATCACAGTCCTCACACAAATCAAATCAAATTTGTGCTCCGCATATATATCTGGTGCTTCCTTGTACAAATATTTGTGTGTTTAAATAAATAAATTAGTAGATAATCGTTCGCGGTTCGACTGATGTAATGGATTTCATCTGTCGTTTCAGTTGTGTCACCAATTGAATATATCTGCTGAGATATTTGTTGCACGTTCGAAAAACTCACCAGACAAACATAACGTCGTCCCGTAAAGAAACTCAGCAGCACAATAACAGATGTCTTGTTTGATAGTTGAGCGAATGCCTAATAATATCAAAGGAGAATTGATATAGCAATTGTAATCTCCTCCTGCAATAGTCAAAGAGGCTTTTAGTTGTCGGTAGAACCTTTTTATCATTACGTTAGCATTCAGATGATAAGCAGTGGTCCTGATTCACATTATACTGAAAGTGTCTGTAAGTTGTTGAGAAAGTGTGCTTTCAAACTGAGTTCCGCGGTCGGTCGTAATTGTTGATGGGACACTGGAATTTGTAATCCACTGTTTCACTAATTTATTCATCACTGTTGATGCCGGTGTATCTTCTAATGGGATGGCTATGGACCATCTCGTGAATCTATCTATACATGTTAGTATATGCGTGTAACCATTGGAAATTGGTAATAGTCCAACAAGGTCGATATGGATGTGGTCGAACGTAGAGCTAGCGACGGAAAATTTCCTGTAAAAAATTTGATGTTTGTCATTCTAGCATTGAGGTTTAACCAGTACATGTATAGACGTCTCATTAGATAGAATTACTTTGATTTCAGTCCTGTGATCGGCAACTACTAGTTTCCGGTTTCTGACGTCTACGAGTATTTTACGTGAATGTAACAAATGAACACGGATTATGTGGACAAATCATCAACTATGATGAAGTTCCATGAGAAGTTGTATTTCAAACCGAAATGCAATTGTAAATGTCTTTTACTGTATGGTTTGACTTTGGATCTATTCGCGACTCTCAGTTTCACTTTCGGGTCACGAAACACTACAATAACATCTGCCTCTGTGTCGACTAACATCTGTGTTCCAGTTCTTCTGTCAGTGACATATAACAAACGACTGATTTGTGAGTTGCGGCCGGTGATCACAGTCGTCACTAATCGTCGACGTTGGCGCTCCCTTTACCGTTTGCTTGCAAAGTTACAGGGAGGAATACACTTTTCAGCTTGTTTACCGAACGTTCTATGGTACCAGTAAATGTTGTCTTTTGAGGAAAGCTCCCGAGCCACAATTGATATAATAGACATTTATCAACTATACGATACACCAAAATATTTTTCATATAGCGTTTGAATTGGGTAGGTGTGTTGTCACCTAGCTCTATATTGGATAAAAGTTCATCGATTGTTTGCTGGTCAGAGAGAGATTTAACACGTATGAACTTTCTTTTTACGCAACCGTATGGCGAGTCACGATCCGGTTTAAAAATGACGTCAAGCACTTGCTCAATAACGTCTTACGGCACCAACCAATTCGCCTAACTAAATTTCCTGTTCAGACTTGTGATTCTGTTTGTAACAATAAAGGCTTTCTAAGAGTGCAAACTAGAGTTCTACCTTTCGACGGTTAAAAGCAGATAAAGGTAAATAGATGGCACCCATGCAAATAGGCTTACATGAAAGGCTTGGTGAATTATCGACTGACATCATACAAATAAGTATAAAAAGTAACAATAATAATAGGCTGTGCATTGACATATTCAATATGAAGAAATAACCAATAACAACAACAGGAACTATACATGAGAGATTCACCGAATAATAAAAGCAACTGTCACTATGGGTTCAAATATGCGAATAAACTGATAGAATTGCAACGAAACAATGTTATGAATGAATAAATATTATGACTGTCAATGAATTGTCAATCATTGTAACCGAATTCCCAATGATAAATCCTTTATGATATATGATTAGAGAATACGTAACAGACATGTAGAGCGATGGTGCACGTTCCAACGGCGGTTCGCCAACATCGTAAACAATGAATTCCTCTATATCTGATTTCCGTTAAGTGAATATTCAATGCAGGCTAAATCTCTTAATAGAATGATGGGTTTACTCAAGATTATTTCAAACGCCTGAACATCAGTTATAGAGACGGTTTATTGTTGAAGTTTGGTAATAACCTGCAAGTTTACTGATAACAATCACACAGGAAAAAAAAGCGAGTGACTATGTGTGAATGTCGATGAATGATCAAGAATCTTCATATATATTGACGAGTGGTAATGAGAGAACAGAATAGAGATCGATGTACGGACACACTGCGGTCAATCAGACTCACACATCATTTTACATAGTAGATTGAAATGTCCGAATTACTGAGTACACACATATAATACAATAATTGAATGGGCTTGTTACTTTCGATTTGGTATTTGTCAGCTGAATATTCCTATATCACAAAATTAATGTTTATTCTGGGAATCGAACCTAGTACCATTCACTTTAAACGAAAAATACACGATTCAGAACAAATAAACCAACAAAGAACAAATAATACACTCCTGTTCTACCTAAAACATTACTGATTATGTTATCTGGAATTGTCATTATGGGACTCGAACCCAGTACCATTCACTTTGAACGAAAAATACACGATTCAGATAAAAATAAACCGGGTAGTTTGCACATTAGTACACCAGTGTTCTTCTTTAAACGTTGCTCGTTATGGTATCTGGAATTGTATTTGTCACCTCTCTCAACTTTAAAAGTATTTCTCAACTAATTCTGATTGCAAAGTCATGATGTACATTCTACAATACGATGGTTTATATATCGTATTTATTCTTAATATATCAACGTTTGACTTAACAAGTAAATATCTCGTGATGTTCCGTGTTCGTTGGTTGATACCGATATACAATCTTCTCAAACACGAGTATATCCGACTACCCTCGTCAAAGAACAGGTATTCAGAAAGGAAGTTTATAGACTGAACTAAATCGTAATTGTGTGTCTATTCCTATTTGAAGAAAACTATGATTTGAATGATGATTTTAATATTCATTGTTGTTGGGTGTACTACTTATGTCGACATAAGTAATATACAACACTGATCAGCGATAGAATGTCTATTAGTAGAAGATGGAGAAGATTGCGGAGCAAAGAACCGGAATCAAAAGAAGGAACAATGAAGTCTGAGATAAATGATTGATATTTTGTAAATGAAGTATTTACTGTATGATTTTACTATCACGTTCTGCAATCTTATGTTGAAATACTAAAATGTGAAATTGAGTACCATACACATTACATTGTTTTCAGCAGCATGTTTCAGACAAACTAAATTTTCAATGTTTTCAACATAAATTGTGTGAATATAAATAGGGTACAATTAATAGGGAAGTTGAATTCATGAGTTGATCCAAAAAAGAGCATCATTGAAAACATGGAATCCGTTCCGTAAATTCAACTATTAAAATTACCACAATCTGAAGGGATTATGTGGAAATTTCAGTGCGGGAACGTGGATGCGCACAGCTGAGGAGTCCCATAATATGACGAAACGGCAGTCCAGTACCTCCAGGTTTTCCATGATAGTCAAGCTTCAGTCGACTCATGATTTCAAGTATGACAATTTCCACAAACTCCATAAACACCCTATTCTGATAATAGGAAAGTGTCAAATTTACCTGAGTTATATAACGCCTTAGTAACTTTTAAACGAAACTATAAAGCCAACGTAGAATCTGGTACTTACGTCTATCAGTTCAGGTCGTAACAACTTATCAATACAGAGAGATAATACATGCAAGACAAATACCACAGTAAGAAAACGCATTTGACATAGATCATATGAATTTAATATATGATATTTGAAGTTTGTTTGCAAATCATATTAGATTTTCAACTTTCATGTAAACTTCACGGTATGATCTGTCCTTCAAAATAATCTGTTCATTGAAGTGTTCTATAATCAGTAGAAAGTGGTACGAACACTTGTCTATCATCGATTCTCATCTATACACATTGATGACATCTCATAGACGAATTCGACAGGTTTTGAAAGAATTCTACACGTTGATGAAATTTTAAGAACTAATTCCACAGTTTTACAAAGAATTCTTTTTTTTTCATTAGTGTACATGTGCATTTGTGTAACTAGACTACCGAATGAATGATGTGCATCGAACTGAACATATAGTCTGTTAGTGATCTGATTAGTAGAACACTGACTGAAGAACCAGAAATAATGATCCATAAACCGAATAGTTCATAGAACGAATAGTTCAGAGTCAATGATGATTTCTTATTTGTCTAATGAGATTGTAGCCCCCCACATAACCTTGACGGTTTACTGTCGAACGCCGATGTACACCCCCACAACACTAATCATTTACTTCAGACAAACTTGATTTCTGTATGAGAATACACCAATGAGAATGAATAATAGCTTTTGTGGATCGTGGGGTGTTGAGAAAGGTTTAGACAGAAGGTATTGAAAAGCTATTTGACACCTGTTCCTCCAGTTTTATAATACCCATGTTAGACCACTTCGTCGTCCTGAACACCGTAAGTGAACTTTGCTTATAGCAGTGATAATGACAATGATCCTTTTGATATATTACTCATTTAAGTAGACTGATTGACTAATCGACACCGAACATGGATATCATCACTGAAATCCCAAGAACAACAAAAAACATCATCGTGTACGTCAATCTGTAATACATCAGAATAAAAAAACCACACACAAACGCCTTCTTCATTGATTCGATATGAAATCAACAAAAGAAAAATACGCACCGATAAGCTATTCAGAGTTCAATTTAAACTGGATACTACAGTTTACAGTCTTATTAAAGACCTCCCATATACCAGTATTGACTGATAAAGATGAAGAGAATGTGGTATACAATATGATAGCTGCCTGTGAATAATTTGGATATAAAATAAGATAGCTTGATTTGCCAACAGTAAAATGACTTATCAATATTGTGATCTGTAAAATTAATAAAACATACACTTTGATTATTTGAAAATATAATAATAATAATGTCCTGATAAGATCCGTTTTAGTATTGGACTATTGAACATTGCGCATCCACGATCCCGCACGCGGCATTTGGACTTAGGACCTTCGGTCTCACATGCGAAAGCTTAACACCTAAACCACTGAGCCGGAATCCGATGTTGTTAATGTGTGTTAACGGTTGCGCAAACATTCATCAATTGCGTGAGTTAGATACCTGTCCACTGGTCATGGCTTCTCATCACAACTACTGGAAATCATATTGGAGCAATGTAAAATTCATTTAAGAAAAATCAGTTCACTTCTACCTCGGATTGATCATTCTGTAAATGAAAATGTACATTAATGTAAGTCACAATGAAGAACAGGATTTGTGCACCTATGTAAAAATCAATCGTTGACTTCTGAAAAGAAGAAAATGTGTTAGTGAATTTACATTGAACAATGCCCATATATGACTATATAGAATTCAGTCAGTGTGTACTTCCGTATGACAATAGAAATATGACCACGTTTCTTCAAAAGCTTATCTATTCATTTCATTATGTAAAGTGGATTATGTTTTCATGTGGGAACTTTTGCTTCAACGTTATACCAGAGTCTTTCTGCCCCACTTTGAACTCACACATAGTAGCCTCAATGGTAAGCCAGTTAGTCTATTACGTCAAGGTCCTAATATACATTAGACAAGTTATTCTCGGTGCGAAAGTGGATAGACAGTTCGAGAACGTAACAGGAAACTCATTTATTTCTTTTAGCATCGAAACTACACTGTGTGTTCACGTAGGCCGTTTTGGTTCAGTGTTATACAACAGAGATGATCATAAAACTTTCTACAGAGTGGATGTACTATCTACTTGTGTTACGTGAGTGAACATACTAAATCACTTGAAGATGACCACCTGACATGATAGAAAGATGCATGTCATGTAGCAGGATATACAACTAGGAAAAACTGCAAATTAACCTCTAACGGACTGAATGATTCTTGGATTTGACCTTGATTCTTTACTGCATGCAATAGAAATTTCGAAGTCGAACTAACATAATACTTTCGACTATTGATTGATTTTACTAAGAATCCGAATGTTTAAAAAATGTTGGATGCGAACTAGATTCCAGTTAATAGTTTACGATTTGGAACTAGATTCAATCATGATTACATAATTTATGAATCAGATTATTTAGCTAATTAGGATACCTTGTATTTCAAAACACAGAGCACAGACCCGACTACGGCAATTACAACAGATATAACCAAAAAGAATATTAGAATATTTATTATTTGATCGACCGAATCTGCTTTAATCGCTGCACCAATCAGTAATGCATATGTGAACAACACCAAACTGATTCCAAAGTTTGCAAGTTTGTAAAGAATACATAACTCTTTACTCCAAGCTGCCATCGCTATTGCCATGAAAACTGACTGAAAAATGAGATGGAAAATTATAATTTGACGGAATATATATTCATTCATATATGATTATATTGTATATTGATGCTGATAAGGTATGATTTCTTCCGCTCAAAATGGCTATCTCAAATTTGACACAACTAGTTCACATATCTATCGAAAGTGTTCTCTTCGAAAACATGATCTCTGTTACTTACAACAAAGGTACTATTGTGGTGTTGGTTACTTATATATATATAAGTAGTATATAATGATGGTCAGACATAGAATGCACAGTGGCAGAAGATCAATAATGAAAGAATAGGAACGAAGCGCAATCGGTATGAGAATGCGTAAACAATGAAATCAGCGAAGATGGACTGTAATTTTAAGTTGGAATGCATTCGTATGTCTCTACCTGCGTTCTGTTCACTACACAATGACTATGAGTGAGACGTCTAAGATATCAATGTCGACAAATCAAAGATTTCAATCAATCTGTAAATCAGTTAGGATTCCGATTTCACAAAGTTCTTCTATGACATAAAAATCAGTAACGTTGGATAATGATCTACAAGCAGTACGTTTTATTAAATTAGATTTTTAGAAAGAAAATAGGCAAATGTATGTGAAATCATCACTAGAAAATCTTACATAAATAATTACAAACACGACATTCAGTGGATATTTCTCACTGATCTTCTTCACGAGAAGAATCAATAGTGCTATGACCAATGCAATCAAACTACTAAATAATATAGAAATAACTGTTTAGCATAACATGTTTAACTGGAACTGTAGCTTATCTACAGCTACTGATGCTATCAAATCTGGTCAAAGTTGTAGGTTCGAGTGTCGGATTGACAACTTCATATCATAAAAAACAGCCGTGATATAAAAACACTGACTAAAGTAAACGACTTCACATACTCTGAAGAAGTGGCTTACATCAGGTTACGAAAACTCAGAGATACGATTTTCTACTCATTGATATAATAATAGTAATACAACTTCTACCTAATGCTCAATTTATTTGAAACTAATTATTTCATCCGAAGCATTAATTCCTTTTGTTTCCTGAAGTTTAAATTCACTTGATACAGTTTACTCGGATATTCCTATTGTTGTTCACCATTGCAATTCATCAGTCTCTTGTTGTCTTATGCGCTTACTGTGCAATGCTGATAATTACTGAGTAATTGTATTGCTTTGCACAAAGAAAATATGCAAATACATTCGATACTACAAACTACATATTCATTCAATGGAAAGATTCAAGTAAACAATACCGAATGAATCCGATCAATTTTATGTTTCTGTTATCCAGCTGAATAATTGTTTGACAAACATAAATTTTCAGTATACTATAACGACCGGAGTCAGACGAAGCTGTCTACTCTCCCCCTTTCTCTTTTTTGCTGGTGATTGACTGGATTATGAAGACTTCGACATCTGAGCGGTAGCACGGAATACAATGGAAATCTCAGAATAAGTTGGATGAATTGAACTTCGCAGATGACCTAGTCCTCCTATCTCAAACACACGAACAATTGCAGATGAAGACAGCAAATGTAGCTGCAGCCTGTGCATCAACAAGCCTCAACATAAACAAAGAAAAAAGCAAGATTCTCAAATAAAACACGGAGAAAAATTTGACAATAAATGACAATACGTACAAAAATACACCAGCTGCAATGGACCGTATAAGTTGGCTTTTGTTTGCTTATTCTATTCCACTACATAAAGACAAATATCAACATTGGTTCAATAATTTACGGTATTGACGAGAGTATTATGATGACAAATGTAATTGATATTGATATTGCAACAAGTATAAGCACCTATAATTGTGAATGACTTTCAATGATAAAGTACAATCTATTGTTTTGGTGTATGTGGATACAACACGTAGACGATCAACACATTTCATCACATTGACTCCTTCCCATTTAATAGTTTCAACAATAGGAACAATTACTTCCAAGATTTGTCTACAATAAACAGTAAAGTGAACAGCAAATTTCAACTAATCATTGACGAATATTCTGTAGTGAACGAGAACACAGATGAGTTTAGTTAAATGCTTTCCAGAGCAGGGTTTGAGTGTGGTGTGTGCTACGGATATCTGTTGATATCTGTAGTATGCATCATCAATCGGAAGTGAAATATCTGGAGGCCGAAGGTTATGTAGATCGAGTAGAAGAGAACGAGAACAGATAATGAACAATGAGGTGTGAGAAGATTAATTGACATTTTGCAAATGAAATATTCACTGTATGGCTCATAGGTTTGGTTGTCCTCACTGGTGTTCTCGTTCACTACAATATTATCTACAGTCATATTGCTAGTTGGTTTACATCCAATTACAGATGTCAAACGCTATGTTTTGACTTGAGAGTTTCAAATAATTTGAGCACTGGGTAGACAGTTAACAAGAAACATATTTTTCTTTTATATCCCACTGAGTAGAAAATTTATACTTCTCTTGTTTCGTGACCTAATGCAAGCTACTTCTGCAGAGTGAATATACCTGGTTATTTCTGTAGTGAAGAAAAACACAAATGAGGACTGTCGAGCGTATCTGAGGACCATACAATAAATACTTCATTTACAAAATGTCAATCAATTGTCTGATACTTGACTGTTCATTCAACATAATGTCAATCACTTGTCTCAGTCTTCATTGTTTTTCCGATTATACGCCAACCATTTTGTGTTCTCGTTCTTTCTTTCCTCGCGTTTTCAACCTTCTGCTGTCAGGCATTTCACTTTCGGTCGACACTACATACTACTTACATCTGTCAACAACAGTAGCACATTGCTCACGTATATATGAATATCAATTATTTCAATAACCTATTAAAAACTAAATTCACTTGATGTTGTTTACTTGTATCTTCCCATTGTTATTTAGGACTGCAATTCAACAGGCTCATGTGACTTCACTCAATATCGAGGCAGTTCGCACACTATGCAGATATGCCGACAGGACACTGATCAGTTGCAGTCCTAAATAACAATGGGAAAATACATGTAAACGACACTAAGTGAATTTAGACGTCATACCATTGCACAGGCAGTTGGATATGAGAACTCAGTAAGCAAGTGAATAATGCGATGGAAGAAAAATTGAGAACATGGAATTTATACATAATGGATACGGATGACTGAGACTTACCTGTAGTGTTGAATGAACTGATCTCAGTTCTTAGTCAGATTCAAAATATACACACATCAAATAGGTTGTATTGAATACTTTGTTTATGTATATGATGTGTTGAAGTTTGATCAAATGTTCACAAATAAAAAACTGACGTTTCAATTCATTAACATAGTTCATACTCTTATATCAGATCAAGGTTCATTTAAAGGTAACAATAAATGATAACAAACTCATGATAACAATCACGATCAAAATGTGATACAAACATGAGCTATTGGTCTACTATGTATAAGATCATAATCATTATGGATTCCCCTTCTCAATCACTCTCTTACTTGTCCCCTTTCATCAACATCAGTGTGTGTTGTATTTCATTTGAACAGTTTTGTGATTAGATAAGAAGATTGTTGATTCCATTTCATAAGACTCAGATATATCTTTTACTCCATTCATCTACTTAATAACTAGAAGACATCAGATATATTGTAGTGAAGTAGAACACAAGCGATGACAATCGACTGTATATGAACATAAAATTGCAGAACGTCTTAGCAAAATCTCAGAACCATACAGAAAATAATTCATTTACAAAATGTCAATCAATGGTCTCAGACTTCATTGTTCCTTCTTTTGGTTCCGGTTCTTTAATCCTTAATCTTCTCGAACTTTTACTACTAGACATTCTATTCCTGATCAGTGTTGTATATTACTTACGTCCTTTACATTTTGCCCAAGTCATCAAACTAAGTAAATAATGCTATGCTAGTTAGTACAGATCAAGAGTGAGTTTAGTGGCATTTTCAAGTGTAATATTTATCAAAAACGTATAGTATTGTCATGCCATTATCTATTATATCATCCAAGAGAAATCGCTTCTACTTCTTATATAATATAAATCCTTCTATTTGATTAGATAATACTATTCACTTGATATAGTGGGTGAATGAAATACCAATAAAGTGATAAGCACACGGAAAGGGCTTTCAGTTTTAAGAAATAAACTACTTGTCAATGGTTGAATATTTGACTTGACCGTCTGAGTGACAAGATAAATACATATGAATCATTGTAAACATATTCGACGATTTGGTTGACCAACGAAACTTCTTACAACGATTATAGTTTTCTTACTATAGTATCTGGCTTTAGGACAAACCTATAGGAAGTCTGTGTATTAGCATTGGAATCGGCGATTGATCGACACAACGCTATTTACAGACTTGACTCGAAGAGATATTCTAATTAATTAGAATATTAATATATTTGTTACTTTTCTTTCTTAATAGAAATCGTGTTATGGTACCGATGTTGAGAAAGGTTTAGACGAAAGGTAATGAAAAGCTCTTTAAAACTTTTTTCTCCAGTTATATCAATCTCAGAATAACACCCATGTTAGACTACATCGTCATCTCAAACACTGTAATTGAACTTTGCTTATAACAGTGACAATGATTCTTTTCATTTCATACTCATCTGATTAGACAGATTGACTAATCGACACTGAACATGGGCATCATCATTGAAATCCCAACAACAAAAACTACTAATTATATCATCTTGTACGTTACATTGTAATCCAATGGAATTCGTATTCTAAATCCGTATTCCAAAAATTCGTATTCTCATTGTATCGGTAATAAATCAGCAAAACAAAAATACACATCGGTTAATTATTCAGAGTTCGACTTCAATGTAACAACAACAACAAAAAATACAAAAAACAGATTTTTCTGTTTTCCATTAAATATTGATGACATTTTCCGTCAATTTAAACTGGATACTACAGTTTCCAGTCTTGTTGTAGACGTTCCATATATCAGTAATGACTGATAAAGTTGAAAAGAATATAGTATACAATAATATACCTGCCAGTGAATAATTTGGATAAAAATTAAAATATCTTGACTTGCCAACAGTAAAATGATTTATAAATATTGCTATCTGTAAAATAAATAAAACATACATCAGTTTAGACTTTGATTG